GTCTGAACTGGCTTTGCCTTTCTCTAATTGTTTGATCTTGTTGTTCAGGTTGGTGATTTGAGTAGACACGTCAGTTAGGGAAGAGTCTAGCTTGTTGTTCATGTCAACAAACTTCTGATTTGTGCTTGCTTGTCCCTGAAGCAACTGTTGAAACATTGCTTGAACCGGGTCTTGAGGAGGCTGTGGAGCTTGTTGCTGTTGAGGCATGAAACCACGAGGAAATACAGGAAAGTAATTCTGGTTGCCTTTCTGTTGGGGACTTTGAAAGTTACCCTGTCGCTGCCCTTGAAATCCACTATTGCTTGTAAACCCGCCTTTGTTATAAGGGAAAAAAGGTTTACCTTGTTGTGGAGGATACAACTGATCTTTGGGATTCTCCACGTTAGTGCTTCTGTAGGAGAGGTTGTTGTTTCCCTGATAACCTTGAGCATAACCTTGCGGCTTGTTGTAGTTGTTGCCTCCAACCCAATTGACCTCTTCTTGGCATTGCTCTAGCTCATCCAATACATCCGCGACTTCTTCTACATAATGCACATGTTTTTGATTTGCAAGCAATAGCTTATCAATCTTCTCATGGAGCGACTTCATATCTTTCTTATGAGCTTCTATATCAGCTCCTCTTGGTGCTCGATCATAATCCTCAGAATATTTCCCATCGCTCAAAGCCAAGTCCTCTATGAGCTCCATTCCTTCTTCAACATTTTGCCCAAGAAAGTTTCCCTTATTTGCTGTATCAAGCAACATGCGAATCTTTGGGAGTCGTCCTCTATAGATTGTGCTCAAGAGATTCTCTTCACTTAAGTCATGATGAGGGAAAGCTATAGTGTAGTCCTTGAACCGCTCCATAGCTTCATTATTGGTCTCATTCTGCCTTTGTGTGAAGCCGCTGATCTCACTTGCTCAAAGTTATCAAGATGCTCCAAAGGGTCCTCCATTGCAAGCCCATGGAACTTGTTGTTTTGCACCATTGAGATGAATCCTGGCTTGATCTCGAAGTTATTGTTTTGCACTGGTGGAGGTGTGATTCCAAAGCGATTATGATGTGTACTTGGAGCATCACCAGCACCAATGATTCTCGGCTGCCTTGGAGCGTGGTTGGGGTTTCCATTGCCCCTAGCACCAGCAGCACGGTGAGGTGGAGCTTCTTCTTGGTCTTGCTCAGCCATAACCTAAAATTCAGCTAGACCAGGTTGCTCTATCTCCTCAAAGTTCTGTTCTTGCTACTGTCCTTCTATGCCTTGCACTTCCGAAATGGTGAATATTGTCCAGTGGTTGTAGAAGATTGTTGTCACCACTGGACCTCAAATTCATGTACCTGAGAAGACAAACAGTAAGGTAGAGCAATGAGTAACCAAAAGAAAAGTAAAAGGCTTAGTCTTTACTAAGCTCCAAATCATATAATGCTTTCTAATCAAACCCAAGATGGCAACGGCGCCATTTGATAGACATGAATGTTTTTAGGTTGTAAATCAAAACCCAAACCACTGTTATGATGCAGTATAGAGGTAAGGTGTATCAATCCATCCTGGGTTGTAGAAACAACACAAGGAATGCAAGAGCAAAGCAAATCTAAGCAGAATCGGGTAAATAGATGGTAAAATCGATAAAAACTAAATGCAATGACCAAATGATTACGAAAACTATTTTAAAATCCCTGGAAGAGGGTAACAACTACTAGAAGAAAACTAGGAATTTAAAGAGCAAAACTACTAATTCCAAAAAATCGAGAACTAAAGCGGGTAAAACAGAGAACTTCTAGCAACTTAAGAAGAATGACTTCCAACGATTAAAGACGCAAGCTTTATGACTAGAGAACGAAAACTAGAGGTTTTGAAATGCTAAAAAGAGGGCTCAAGGTTGAGGGTCATGTTCAAGAGAGTTCAAAGGTTCAAACTTTGGTTTGAAAACACATAGATCTACTCATTTGATGAGCTTTCCCTAAGCCTTGAGAAACTTAAACTAGGATCTTCCATGGCGTGTGGTAAGACCCTTTTCTTCGACCCTTCCTCCAAACCTATTGAATGTAGTGGAAAGATGGGTTAAAGAGCATTAAGCAAAGATCCCAAATAGTGGCTTAACTAACCCCCTCTTCAACCATGGCGTTTGGGAGAGGATAGATTAGTCTCTAGGATTTGGCTTTCAAGGATCTCTGAATCCGATCAAGGTAAGAGAAGCCCGGGAATCATAGAGATCTTTTCCAAGACTCTCTAAGCTTTAAGACCCCAAATCCTAGAAGAGAATGAGTTAAGAACATTAAAATCCCAAAGCTTAAACCCTTAAACCCTTAAACCCCTGAATCGCCCCAACCTTTAACCCAAAGAAAACTACTCGCTACACATAGTTAAAACCGATTCAAATGCAAGGAATGAAACGCTAAACATGATTGAAGAAAGCGATTAAGGAAAAACACTTAATGATTAACAAGATTCAAAGTTTAAAAACAAGAAAGGCTTCAAGAACAGAACAATGGTTGAAATCACCTAAGAGAAACTCTAAAAAGATAAGGCAAAGCGTGGGTCATGAAAGTGATGTTCGCCCTTTGCCCAAAATAGCCAGACAACCCTAATGGTCCCCTTACTACGCTCCAAAAATGAGCTGGCCGGATATGGTCCCAGAGATCGACTCGGGTGATCGATCTCTAGCTCGATCTTCTTCATGGATCGTCTGCTTTTGCTCGATCTTTGAGTCGATCCTTGGATGATCAGGTCATGGTCTCGATCTGGCTCTCGTTCTGCATGGCGTAATCCACGTCCGTACTCACGATCGATCTCCTCACTCGATCTCATCCTCGATCCCTTTCTTGAAACGATTGATATTACCATATATTTTGCATATTTAACATGCATTTAGAGCTAGTTTTCATGCATTCATCTTGCATTATAGGCTAGTTTCTACCATTTGTTGCATTTAAGGTCCTAGATCACTTTGCATTCGCATTTTGCATATTTCTTGCATCTTTTGCATCATTATCAGGTTGTTTGGGACACTATAGAGATGTGGAGGTTGCGTTGACATGCATAGAATCAAGAGGAGGCTTGTGGACACTTGGAGAACTCAGCCATGCATGCAAAGGACCCGAGATCGAGCTGCAGATCGAGCAAGGCAGGTCGATCAAGAAGAGATCGACCAGAAGATCGAGCAGCGGATCGAGACCAAGATCGAGAGAGGCGATCGATTGCAAGTACGGACGTAGATGACGCAATGCAGAACGAGAGCCAGATCGAGACCACGACTCGATCACCCAAGGATCGAGTAGGAGATCAAAGGAAGTGCTCGATCCATCTAACCAAATCGACTTGAAGATCGAGCAGAAGAAAGCGATCCATGGGGAAGGTCGAGTGAGCTGATCGATCTCTGGGACCTTATCCGGCCAGCTCATTTTTGGAGCTTAGTGAGGGGACCATTAGGGATGTTTGGCTATTTTGGGACGGAGGCGGCTATCACTTTCCATCATCCATATTTTGTCTTATCTTTTCTCTTAGGCGATTCCGCAATTGCAATACTTTGAAGGTTTTCTTGTTTTTAAACTTTAAATCTCGTTAATCATTAAGTCTTTTGCCATAATCGCTTGCGTAATCATGCTTAGTTTATCTTTCGTTGCATTTGAATCGATTTCAATCATGAGTAGTGAGTAGTTTTCTTTGGGTTAAAGGTTGGGGCGATTCAAAGGGGTTTAAGGGTTTAAGCTATTGGATTTTTCTTGTTCTTAACCAATTCTCTTCTAGGATTTGGGATCTTAAAGCTTAGAGAGTCTTGGAAAAGATCTATTTGATTCCAGGGCTTTCTTACCTTGAGCGGATTCAGAGATCCTTGAAAACCAAATCCTAGAGACTAATCTATCCTCTCACAAACGCCATGGATGTAGAGGGGGTTAGTTAAGCCACTATTTAGGATCTTTGCTTAATGTTCTTTGACCCATCTTTCCACTAAACGCCATAGGTTTGGAGGAAGGGTCAGAGAATGGGGTCATACCACATGCCATGGAAGATCCTAGTTTAAGTTTCCTAAGGCTTAGAGATAGCTCTTTAAAAGAGTAGATCTAGGTGTTTTCAAACCAAATCTTGAACCTTTAAATCTCTTGAACATGACCCTCGACCTTAAGCCCTCGTTTTAGCATTTTAAAACCTCTGTTTATCATTCTCTTGTCATAAAGTTGCATTCTTGATCATTAGAAGTCATTTGTCTAAAGTTGTTAGAATCGATCTGTCTTACCCGTTTTAGCTCTCGATTTTTAGTAATTAGTAGATTTGCATTTTAGAGTCTCTGTTTTCTCCTAATAGTCGTTAACCCTCTTCCAGGGATTATAAAAAAGTTTACTGTTCATTTGGTTTTTGAATTTAGTTTTCCTTGATTTTACCATCTATTTACCCGATTCTGCTTAGATTTGCTTAGCATCTGTATTCTTAGTGTTCTTTCTTCACCCAGGCTGGATTGATACTCTCTTGCACTATACTACATCGTGATAGGTTGCTTGAGCTTTGATATTTAGACTTGCAAAACAAACTTGTTTATCAAACGCCGTTGCTAACTTGAGTTTGTTAGAAAGCATTAGGATTTGTTGTTTGGCAAAGACTAAGCCTTTTACTTTTATTTTGGTTACTCATTGCTATACCCTACTGTCTGTGTTCTCAGGTACATGTATTTACGTTCCAGGGGTGACAACAATCTGCTTAAACCCCTGGACAATATTCACCAACTCAGACACGCAAGATCAAGAAGAGCAAGAGAGCAAGCTCAAGCCTTTGAAGAGATTGTGCAAGCTGGTACAGTAGACTTTGAAAGTATGGCTGAGCAAGAACATCTTGAGGGACCTCCACCACCTCACGGTGCTATAGGAAGGGGTAATGGAAACCCCAACCACGCAGCTAGACCACCACGGATCAGAACTACAACAAGCCACAGGGCTAAATCGAGGATAAAAGGAAATAGGGAAAAACTGTAAAAAAAAAGGAAATCGTCTACCGTTGTTTTGGTTTTTAAATCAAATTTCAGGTTGTGGTTTGGTACAATTGGGATAAACGAACCGGGGAGCATTGGATTTCTCAACTCGGGTTTAAGAAATCGGATCAGTATAAACAATCACGACTTATATAAAACCAACAACGATCATATTACTTATAAACCAGACAAATAATACACATGACATGAAAAAAAAAAAAACCAAAAAGTGTGAGATTTAGAAGAGAATTTATCAGGAAATATTAAAACCATTAACCATGTTTAAACATTGCGTAAGAGCAGGAGAAGAGTGAAACTACTTGGTCGCCTGAGCAATTATATTACTAATGGAACTAGCCTCCTCTTTCGCAGCCTCCACCAATTGATCCTTCAATTATCAAACCACACATATCATTAACACACACCCTTAAGCACTAATCCTTTTTGTCTGAATGAGTAATGGACATTAAAATTAAGAAACCATATATATATATATATATATATACCTGAGCTGATATGATCCTCGCCACTATTTTCTTGCTCGACTCTTGAAGCTCACCGGCGATCAACAGCTCATCCAATATATAATACGCCTAGACCAACAACATTGAGTTAATGAATCACTGCTTTTCACTTAGTAGGTTCTGCAGAGAGTTGTCTGTATGCATACCTTGTGGAAGTTAAAAATCAAATCGAGTTCACACACCTGAAGATCATAAGATTAAACAAATCCAAATCAAAGTCTTAGTCGTTTTGTGTAAGGTTATGGTAGAAATGAAGGAACAGATTTTGGATATGCGGTCACTCACACTGACAAGCTAATTGGGCTGCTGGTCAGAACTACAACAAGCCACAGGGCTATTCTCAAGGCTACCAGGTGATAGGGTTCAGGTTTTACCCAAATAAAACTACTGCAAGTGCACAGCAAAAGCAGTTGTAGTACAAGGGGTTATCGAATCCCAAGGGAGTAAGTGAACTACACTAAAGAGTTCAGGTTCGGATTAAGCTAAGCGATAAATAATGAATGTAATGCAAAACAGTAAAATAAATGCAGGAGGGCGTTTTTATGCTTGTTCTTAAAGTTCAGAAGGCTAAAGGCGCTAAGTCAGGACAGTTCGCAGGTTGAATCTGAGAGTGTAGAATGCATGCAATCAGGAATGAATTAAAACCGTCTTGAACATGAATCGCAAAGATATAACTAATCAATTCTCATTGCAGAAGTTATCTATGTCTAAATCACAGAGTTTCAAATCTCTTTGCAAACCCTAACAACCTAAACATGCAGTAATGATCAGGTTCAATTGTTCACAAAACTCCTAAGCCAAATCTCTTTGTACTAGGGCGTTTTGCTCATCTAATACTAGTTCAGGTGATTAATAATGCTCTCACATCTATCAAAAACCTAGGGTTTCGAAATCCACATGATGTGTCTAAGAAATCGATATGAATGCAAGCACAGATGAAGAACCAATGAAATTCCTAGAAGTTTTTAGCAATTCTACAAACTCTTCTTCAACCTTTGAAAAGCCCTAACTTAACTAACAAACTACTCAGACATGGTGATTTGAGAAAACATCATGAAAAGAATAGATTTCATAAAAGAAATAAGAAGTAGAAATAAAGGAGTTCAAAATCTGCTCTGAAGGAGTCTGATTTGTCTCTCCAAAAGCTTTTCTACAAATCTCTCTCTAAAGCTCTCCAAGATAATAAGATACAAGATATATGCCAAAAGAATGGCTGAAAAACCTAATATACAAGCTAAAACACGATCTGGGGTCTTTTTGCAAATACTGGAACTTTTGGGCCAAAACTGCAATTTCTTCCCAATCTTTCAAAAACAAGCCACGACCTCCTTCCTTGGTGGGTGACGAGCGTCACCAGCTTGGTGACGAGCGTCACCATATGGCATACTTTCTTCTTCGAGCTAGGTACTTCGTGGCTTCAACTCATAATGCTCCAAAAGGTTCCAAAATCTCCAATTATGCTCCAGACATGCTATAACCTGCAAAGACTCTTCTAGGACTCTAAAAAGACCAAAAAGACTCAATAAAAAGGAATTATATCATGGTTAAAAACCATAAAAACCATGATATATCAACTCCCCCAGACTTAGCTTTTGCTTGCCCTCAAGCAAACATTAGACAAAGAATAAGGTCGAGGTTTGAAAACAAGAAACAGTCAGTCAGTCATCAGAAACACCACACTAGTTAAAGCTTTCGAATCCACATACCACATAGTCAACACAAGGTCAAATTTCAGCCTAATTATCACAAGCTTAGCAAATATCTCAAATCTCTGAAATTTCTACTGTTAACTCCTTATTTTTTATCTAAGTGTGAAGTCTCATCAAAGCTCTATCATCTTAATCACTTTACAGATTCTTTTCCCTTCCTAACAACTGAACAAATCAATCTCAACACAGCTCTCCTATTTTCTCTTCCCTTAATCTTTTTCCTTAGGATATTTTCGATTTTTCACTTCTTTTTCTCAACTTTTACAGTCTAAGATATGATGCTACTCAATACTTGTGTTCCTTGTGAGGAGACAAGTTCTTGAGTGTGTTCACTACTGTTGTTCCTTGTGAGGAGACAGGGTCATGAATGCACCATTCTTTGAACTTAAACTTTTAAAAACTACATCAGAGAAGATCAAAGAGAGACTGTATTTTAACCTTATTGTCAGTGCTTAAAGAGAGAATCAAGATCAATAAGAATCAATCACCAAGACAAGAAATTTAAAGTTCATTAAGGTGGAGCTAACAGCAAATTTTCCAGATTCTCTAAGAATCTAAACCTTCATTGCTAGACTGATCTACCTATGACTTTCAACTTGGTAAGACTTATAATCAACTACTGTGGCAATGTTTCTTATCAGCAAAAACGTCCTATGGCTAGTTCCAAGAAAAACTAACAGTTTCAAAAATTTTGACTCTAGAAAAACAGGTTTTTTTACTCAACTTTAAGACTCTATAAACATGACACAAAGCACACAACGTCAGTAACCACCTCCCCCAGACTTAAACAACACTGTCCCCAGTGTTATTAAGCCAAGAGTTGGTCAAAATAAAGCATGAGAACGTGTAAAACCAAGGTGGAAAAGTGGTACCTCGCGAAGGAGCTAGTGACGAGCGTCACCATATTGGTGACGAGCGTCACTACTCTGAAACTTCAGAAATCGTCATGTTGGATGTTTAAATGCTATGCCATCATGTGTAGTCCGAAGTCAAACTGTAAGAGCACTCAAAACACACATCAAAACATCCAAACAAAGCATAATCCATGGTCCAACAAGTTCACAAGACATCATCCAAGCAAACTGAACAAAGTGACTCTTTTTTTTTTTTTTTTTTTTTTCTCATGTTTTTAAGTTTTTTTTTTTAGCTATGTAATAGAAAACTAAACTAATATATGAAATATAAAACTTACCAGTGGGTTGCCTCCCACTAAGCGCTTGTTTAAAGTCATTAGCTCGACTTTGAATGCTGCTCAGACAGCTGGTGGAGCAGAAGGTGGCAGTGAATGCCTTGGAGAAGAATGTCTCCTCATCCATGGTGGTTTGTAAGCAGTAGATGTATGAACACTTCCAAGGAAGTGAGTAACATCAGCAGAGTGGGCCGTGACTGTGGGTGGGATACTTCTTTTTCCTGCAGAATCATCAAAAGAAACACCAAGCATTCTACGAGAATCTCGTTGCTTGCATAAGTATGAAGCAGCTTTTTCACCTTTTAAATTCTTATTGATGAGATTAGGAGGTTTGGAACTGGTTCCAGGAAGTGCATACCTTTGCTTAGTTGCAGGTTTCTGGGTTGTGGAATGGTGAATTTTCGAATTGGCAACATATGATGGACTTGTAGCTGTAAAATCACGTTGCTGCTTTGTGTTCAGGTTGGTGACGAGCGTCACCAGGTCAGTGACGCTCGTCACTGACTCTACAGTTCGAGTTTCTGCAGTTTTCCTGCAATTCAGCTCTGCAAGTGTTGCTTCCATCACATACACGTCTTCCTCCAGCAACATGGCATTCATTAGAACCTCTTTTTCAAGCCTAGTCATGAAGATATGATCCTCACTGCAATCCTCAAACCCAACAGCTTCTGCAGAAGTTTCAGATATTGGCTCTTCAACAGCCATCTTGCTCACTTGCCTACTAATATCTGATTCATTGACACACTCAGCAATAGTGTCTTCTGAATGCTCCATGACAGTCTCTTCATATCTGGAAGTTCTTACAGAAAAGGTTTGACCATCAATGGTAGAACTCCCTCTTAACTTATCCATGTCAAAGTTCATGACAACATCACCAAGATCAAGCTCAATGATCCCCTTTCTAACATCAATGATAGCTCCAGCAGTAGCCAAGAATGGTCTTCCCAGAATAAGAGGATCTTTAGGTTCTTCAGCATATTTCAGAACCACAAAATCTGTAGGAATTATGCAGCCTTCAATGTTAACATGAACATTCTCTAACATGCCTTCTGGGGTCCTTATGGATCGATCTGCTAGGATGAGAGAGATCCCAGCTGGCTTGAAATCAGTCATTCCAAGTCTAGCAGCAACAGAGAAAGGCATCAAGTTAATACTTGACCCTAGATCACATAAAGAGTGGGGAAAACGTCCTGCAGATATTGAGCAATCAAGCACAAAGGTCTCTGGATCAGATAGCTTCTCTGGAACTCTGCTTTGAGTGATGGTATCGACTTGTTCAGAAACAGTCACCTTCTTCTTCTTCTTTGGAACTGTGCCTAAAAGAATTGCACTGATGTCTCTGGTAAGCAATGCTCCTTCCTCAGGACTTACACCATTCACAACCATTCTCTTAACATACCTTCTTAGAGCTGGTGAAAGCTTGACTGCATCAACAAGAGGGATCTCAAGCATCAGCTTGTCTATCATAGCTTTGCATCTGGCTTCTTCTATCTCATGTTTAGACTTTCTAGGATGCTTGGGGAATGTTGTTTTGGGTTTATAGACACGTTCCTGGTCATAATTTGCAGTTACAGGCGAAGCAGCTTCGTTCTGGGGTGGGTGACAACCGTCACCAGGGGGGGTGACGCTCGTCACTCACCTGTGACAACCCCCGATTCTCTTCTATGTTGGTGACGATCGTCACTCCTCCTTGGTGACGCTCGTCACTCACCTCTGAGACAGAAAAAATTTCATCTTCAGACTCCATGAGTTGCACGATCTGTTCTGCACTCAACCTCTTTTTCTGCACTGTTTTAAGCTCCTTTTCATTCCTGATTGTGATGGCATTAACCTGATGCTTGGGATTGATATCAGTCCTTCCAGGAAGGAATCCCTCTTGCCTTTGAACAGCTCCTGCATTTTGAGCAACCTGCACATCAAGCTTCTTCATGTGAGAGTTCAGACTCTCAATTTTTCCATTCAGGTCCTGATACAGTGAATCTAGCTTGCCATTGAAGTTCACTGTCATCTTCTGCTGTCCTTCAAGTACCTGCTCCAGCATAGCTTCCATTTTATTGTCTTGTGGAGGTGCAGTTTGGTAGGAAGAAGAACCATAATTCCTGCTGTTCTGGTAAGGTTTCTCAACTTCAGTCTTCTGGAACAAGGTCTTATGAGTGTAACCAGGCTTGCTCTGTCCTCCTGTAAAGGTACTCTGCTGATTATTGCTGTTGTAGCCTCTGATCCATTGCTGATTTCCAAACTTTTGGCTCTGAAAACCCCCTCCATTGATGAAATTAACATCTTTCTGCTCAAATTCTTCAGGATTTTCGAAACTCTCCACTTCTGCAGCAAACTGAACTGACTTCTTTCCCACCAGAAGGCTGTGCATGCTGTCTAAC